TAGGGATCAAATGTACATCAGGAAATGTTTTTAAAGGTGTACTCCAATCAAAATGGAAAATTAATTGTTGCAATGTAGAGAGGGAGACACAGTTCACCGCTCAGTATTTCAGTTTTTCCTTCAGCCATTGATGCAGTGCTCCAGTCCATGCCAAACTGCTATCAGCCATCTGGTGATCTGGGAACCCCTTCTGCTGACCTGTTTCTAATGTAAGAGAGGCGTTCTGAGACACACCCACTGCAGGCTCCTCACTGTTCAGTATCAGGGCTAAGAGGATCCTCACAGCCACCAATCAGATTCAATCATGCTGTACGAGCTTGATATCTGGAGAAGAAAGAGACAACACAGTGAGTAATCTGATACATACTTTAAAATACATTTTATATTAAGATCAGGGGAGGACTGACCATTGGGAAACTCGGGCACTGCCCGAGGGCTGGGGTCAGTAGGGGGCCCCATGAGATGCCCCTGGGACCTTTTTCATAGGCTTTTTTGAGTTTGGGCAAGGACACAGGGGCCCCATGATCCCCTATTGCCCGGGGGCCCCAAGAGTTGTCAGTCCACCCCTGATTAAGATACACTGAAATAGTATGTATAGCCAAAACCTTTCATTTACATGGGGTGAGCCACATACTATCAACAGAAATCTATTACTATTAAATGTAAAGGTTCTTATGGAGATGCCAACATGTTGTGGGGGGTAACACACCTTCCTCTTTCATCAAGGCTTAATTTTACTGCTGGACGGAAGCTGGACCGGAGAACTGACCCTTTAGAAATATTATTTAATGAGGAGATAAAGTCAAAGCTGATTAGTTTGGCCGGACCATTGATCAATTGGAAGAGGATTTTCTTATCTCATTGCAATTTGATATCTCTAAAGGATCTAATGTTAGGTCCAGGTTCCCTCCAGCACAGAAGTTAAAGTGAATCCAGCTCCTAAAACAAAAATGTCATATATTGCAACTTACCGACCCTTACATGTCCTGCCTGCATTCATTTTCTTTTTTTAGACTGCTTTTCCTTTAGTTGCACCTGTGATCCTACCCAGTGGTGCATTTAGGTTTTGTGCTGCCCTAGGCAACAAAAAAATCGGAAACCCCGCCCTCCCCGGCAGAAAGAGCCTAACATTGACCAACAACACTCCTGCCCTCCCACCCGAGAGAGCCTTCCACTAACACACATTTCCCCCCCGGAGAGAGAAAGCCACTCACCTTCACAACCCTGAACATCCCCAGGAACGAGATTCTGGCTCTGCATACACCATCAAGCAGTCCGCAGCTTCTCTTGACTCCCACCTGGTCCCCATGCTGCAGATGTCCCTTCTTCCAGAGGGCAGTGCTGCGCCCCTAAAAAATGCCGCCCTAGGCAAATGCCTTGTTTGCCTTGGGGTAAATACGCCCCTGATCCTGCCCCCAACACACTTCCTGTGCTAGGGTCACTGTACTGCATATATAGAGGAGCAGTGATGTCACCTTAGGTTGCTCTCCTGATTTGGACTACCCCCCTCCTCAACCTATCTCCCCTTACTGATAATGTACAGCGCTGAGCAAACTGTTGGTGCTATATAAATACTGTATAATAATAATATTTTATAATACATTGGGGGAGGTGTTCTGTAGATGTCCCTTCTTCCAGGGGGCGGTGCTGCCCCCCTGAAAAATGCCGCCCTAGGCAAATGCCTTGTTTGCCTTGTGGTAAATACGCCCCTGATCCTGCCCCCAACACACTTCCTGTGCTAGGGTCACTGTACTGCATATATAGAGGAGCAGTGATGTCACCCTAGGTTGCTCTCCTGATTTGGACTACCCCCCTCCTCAACCTATCTCCCCTTACTGATAATGTACAGCACTGAGCAAACTGTTGGTGCTATATAAATACTGTATAATAATAATATTTTATAATACATTGGGGGAGGTGTTCTGTAGATGTCCCTTCTTCCAGGGGGCGGTGCTGCCCCCCTGAAAAATGCCGCCCTAGGCAAATGCCTTGTTTGCCTTGTGGTAAATATGCCCCTGATCTTGCCCCCAACACACTTCATGTGCTAGGGTCACTGTACTGCATATATAGAGGAGCAGTGATGTCACCCTAGGTTGCTCTCCTGATTTGGACTACCCCCCTCCTCACCCTATCTCCCCTTACTTATAATGTACAGCGCTGAGCAAACTGTTGGCGCTATAGAAATACTGTATAATAATAATAATAATACATTGGGGGAGGTGTTCTGTAGTTCACAGAGGATAGCTGAGAATGGTGATAACACCGTTTGAGATCTCAGATCAGTGCAAAGGAAGTTACAGGGATGCTGGCTCTCTGGCAGGATCACCAGTAAGTGGTATCAGACCTATCATCACCACCATGTCTAGGTAAGCTGCAATATATGAAATGGTTGTTCTTGGGTTTAGATATACTTTCAGCCCTGATGAAGGGGGCAGTGTGACCCCTGAAATGTGTTGGTATCTCAAAAGGAATGTTTGTATTAAAAGTGTCATTGACTGTGGAAACCTTACTTGTGGCTTTCTCCTAATCTGAAGACTTTACCCCATTACTCAGTGTATGAACACTGGCAATCCAGCCTAGAATGGAGACCAGAATCCTTCTACCTCTCTCTCCACTCCATCCAACACTAAACAAAACCTTTCTCTGGGGAAACCCTTTAAATCTGACCTCCGGCCTTCCCTTCAGTCTTGCACAGTTGTACTGGCTCCTCTCCTGGACTAAAACGGCTTATTCTGATTTCACTGCACACTGTGAGCTTCTCACAATGTGCATTAGAAGCTGCAGCAAGTCAGACAGAGCCCAATTCATTTCCTGGCTATAGGACATCCAGCGTCATCTAAGCTCTTTCTTCCACAGCCTGACTGTCTCTGGCCCGCCCCTTTCATTCATTGGATTTCAGTTCTTGCAATCATGGAGGCTCAGCATGTGGGTGATATCTGCGTGAAAATACAGTCTGCCTAGGAACACCCACAGCCAGGGGCGGACTGACCATTCAAACACTCGGGCAGTGCCCGAGGGCCCAGGGTCAGTAGGGGGCCCCATGAGATGCCCCTGGTACGTTTCATTGGCTTTTCATAGGCTTTTTTGGGTGCGGGCGAGGACACGGGGGCCCCATAATACCCTATAGCCCGGGGGCCCCCTGTCAGTCCACCCCTGCCCACAGCTCCAGACTGATATCCACCATGTAAAGCACAGGTGTCAAACACAAGGTCTGTGGGGCCGAATCCGGCTCTCTGGGCCATTTCATGTGGCCCTTGCACCTCTCCTGCTGGTACCCCCTTGTTTCTGCCCCCACCTTGTCCCAGCAGAGAGGAGAATAGAACTCCTGCTAAATCCTCCTCAACCCCGCACCCCCTCATCTCTGCCTCCCCTGGTCTCAGCATTCAGCCAACTCTGGTAACTGACTCCACTCCTCTGGTCCTCCTCCAGACCCTGCATGTTCTGCTTTCCCCAAAGGGGGTACACGGTGAGCAGGGGTGGACTGACAACTCATGGGGGATTATGGGGCCCCTGTGTCCTTGCCCAAACTCAAAAAAGCCTATGAAAAAGGTACCAGGGGCATCTCATGGGGCCCCCTACTAACCCCGGGCCCTTGGGCGGTGCCCAAGTTTCCAAATGGTCAGTCCGCCCCTGACAGTGAGGTTAGGGAGGGTGTGGGATTCTTGACATCTGATGTAATGGGGGTGGGGTGCTCTAGACATCTAGTCTTAAAAATACAATCAGCCCTTTGAGGGTGACCATAATGCAGCCCACGATGAAATGGAGTTTGACACCCCTGCTTTAAAGCATTCTGATAGTCGCATAACTCTTCCCAAAATCCTAACCCACTACTTACGTCAGGGCTGAGGGCCCTTGAGAGGAGTACTGAAGTAGAGTGCTGCTGTGATGTTTTCAGGAAGCTATGTATAGCAACCATCCGGTCCCTCCCACCAGCCATGATCTGCCTGCATTATACAGAGAAGCACAGAGACCCAGTGATGACATTGCTGGGTCTAAAATTAGGTATGTAACAAAAATTAAAAGACTTTATTTAAAAATGTAATTAGCATGTTGATAGGGGGGGGGGGGGGGGGGGGAATAAACCAAGGAAGGCAAAAAATAAGCAGATTAAACTTTGGCAAAGTCTGGGAGATCCTTCAGGCTAACAAACTCTGTGGCCAGGCAGTGCAATTCTGCTTTCCAGCTCGGGTCCAGGAGCCGAGGAAGAGAGCGGCGCAGAGCAATATCAGTGAATTTTGGAGTATTTTTAGCCCTCTCTCAGTGCAGGGAAGCTGCTGATTTGGGTTATTGCACACTGCCGGATCTGTGTGAACGGTGGACGTGAGATTTCAAACAGCAGATCACTTAGTTTACGTATTTGGTGCCCAGAAAATTTTCCAAATAAACACAGCTTGATTCAACTTGGGTGGGCAAGCTTATCAACAGACTAATTTCATAAACAAATGGAGCGAGCACCCAGAAAGCCATTGGCTGGTAGAGGGGAGACACGTGGAGGGGCTTGCAAACTCTTCTCTCCCTCTCTCTTTTTTTTCCCCCCTTCTCCTTTTTGCAATGAAATTTTAATTAATGTGGGTGGGCTGAGAATTGGACGACTGTTTATCATAGACAATTTATTTTCCAGCGCTAAGTCAACATAAAAAATAGCAAACTTACAACAATTATTTAACATTTCGAAGCTATGAGGAAGGGACACAAGCTGTGTGGAATTCACTGGCGGGATTCAGGCTGCGGCTGGGACCAGGCTCTGCTGAAGACAGAAACTTCTGCTCTACTTTTTGGGGAAGGCAGAGCGTTTTCCTGGAAGGTTCCTGAGTATGAGTCGTCTGTACAACAGCCACCTTCCTCAGCTGGGGGGTGAGGTGCCAACAAGGCCACCTCTGGTCTACCTGTACGGGGCAGAGAGGACTTTGATGCCCACTTTGGGGTTTGCTTCTTCAGGCATCCTTACCAGACAGGAGCCACCTCAGAAGCCACCTTATAGCTACATTGCTTTGATAGCCATGGCCATCAAGGATTCCCCAGACCACAAGGTCACCCTGAATGGCATCTACCAGTTCATCATGGACCGTTTCCCCTTCTACCACGACAACAAGCAAGGTTGGCAGAACTCCATCAGGCACAACCTGTCCCTCAACGATTGCTTCATCAAGGTGCCCAGGGAAAAGGGCAGACCTGGAAAGGGCAGCTACTGGACCTTGGACCCTAAGTGCCTGGACATGTTTGAAAATGGCAACTTCAGACGGAGGAAAAGGAAAACCAAATCTATGCCATGCCAGGAAGGCAAGAGATGTAGGGCAGAATGTGTGGAGAGACCTGGGGATGGACAATCTTCCTACAAGAGGTCAGTTGTCAATGGATTTCTGGGGGGAGCTCAGATGGAGGACAGTGACCCTGTCTCAGGCTGTGCTACAGAGGTCCTCTCCTCTTCTGAAGAGGATGGAGGCTTTGGAGAACTGATAAAAGTTTGCAGCTCCCCAGATATGACCTCTGTCACTTTACTGAACAGTCCACAGACATCCGGATGTCCAGTTTCCTCTCTCTTATCTGACAAGGGGACTTTATCTACAACTCAGGATGGGACCAGGAGCTGCAGGATCTTCCAGGATAGCCCCCCTGCTGAGGAGAAGGACCCCATGCGCAAGACCTGGACTATGAGAGGCATCTGGATGAAGATCTCAGCAGCAAGGGACCTGGAGGGGCCATTAGTGAGGAAGAGGAGGCCACTCCAAAACACCCCAAAAACTTCAGCATAGACAGCATTCTAAGCTCCCAATCAGCAAAAGGAGACGGTGGGGCTTCAGGGCTGCCAGGGCTCTCCAAGGTGACTATGGAGTGTCTTCCAGGTACCTACAGATATCACCCCCTCTTTCAGAGCCCCGGTATTTGTCCTCTGTTTAATACCTCCGTCATGATTGACTCCCAGATCCAGGGGAGGTTCTACCAGATAGGACTCCCTATCCTTTCCTATCTCCCTCTAGCTCTTTCAGAGTCTGCAGTGCCCAAGTAGACCAGCAAATGTATCTAATATCACCATTATATCTTGGAGCAGGGAAAAGCTTCTCTTGGCTCTCTAACTGTTGTGATGCTACAAATCCCAGCTTGTCCTGCAAAAAAAAAAAATATATTCAGCCAAGACCTGCAGAGCAGTAAAGCTTTGCCTCTAGAACACTTCTGGCTAATCGTAACCCTAACCCTCCTAACTTTAAGTCTAACCCTCCTAACTTGAACCCTCCTAATTCTAACCCTCCAAACTTGAACCCTAACCCTCCTAACTTTAAGTCTAACCCTCCTAACTTGAACCCACCTAACTCTAACCCTCCTAACTTGAACCCTAACCCTCCTAACTTTAAGTCTAACCCTCCTAACTTGAACCCACCTAACTCTAACCCTAACCCTCCTAACTCAAACCCTAACCCTCCTAACTCGAACCCTAACCCTCCTAACTTTAAGTCTAACTCTCCTAACTTGAACCCTCCTAACTTTAACTCTAACCCTAATCCTCCTAACTTGAACCCTCCTAACTCTAACCCCCTAACCCTCCTAACTCCAACCCTAACCCTACCTAACTTTAAGTCTAACCCTCCTAACTTGAACCCTCCTAACTTTAAGTCTAACCCTCCTAACTTGAACCCTCCTAACTTTAAGTCTAACCCTCCTAACTTGAACCCTCCTAACTTTAACTCTAACCGTAATCCTCCTAACCTTGATGATGTAAAAGCTGACTGGTTACTAAAAGCTTCATTGTAGTTCTCCTTACACCCGGCTTTTGTAGAACTACAAGTACCAGCCGGTCCACATCAGCTGCAGACTCTACTCTTGATAACTGCAATCTATTTTTTAGTACATTTTTAGTGCAGGTTTTGCCTTTTTTGTGACTCTTACACCACCCAACAGGCTCTGCGTTTCATTAAACAGACACGCAGCCGTTCGCTAATTAGACAAAGATACGTGTTTTGCCAAGTCTACTGGCATTCCGATTGTCATTACGTCATCCTAATAAATTCATTGTGGGCGTGGCCAGGTTTTAAATGATTCCCTGCAATGTTCAGGTACAGATCAGTGTTATAAGGTCCAGATCCATTCAAGTTTAATGGAAACTGAGGTCCTCTTGCAAACCATTGCTGTTGCACTGCTGATCACTCTGCAATGGCAGCATGCATTTAATAGATAAAGGGACAAATTCACTTTAAACTTTAGAATCCAGAAAGGCTGGGACCCATAATTCGGCAACAGCTGGAGTCAGGGGCGGACTGACAACTCATGGGGCCCCCGGGCAATAGGGGTTCATGGGGCCCCTGTGTCCTTGCCCAAACTTAAAAAGACTATGAAAAAGATACCAGGGGCATCTCACCTACTGACCCCGGGCCCTCGGGCAGTGCCGAGTTTCCAAATGGTCAGTCCGCCCCTGGCTGGAGTGACAAACCTTGCCAGCTGCTGATTGTTAGATAAATTCATTTTAAATGATACCAGCTCTGCAGGACTGCTGCCACTGCAATGGCCAGGAGTCCCTTTATCTATAAGTTGCAACGCAGGCTGGGACTTGTGGTCCAATAGCATGGAAATATCACACCTATAACTGTGCTTCAATGTCTAAGAATAGCCATACACTATACAATTTTCTGTCCAATTTCTGCCCAATTTCCTTTAGATTTACCTTCAACTATGTAGTGCAAGTGCCCGCCTCATTGGATACAATTGAAAGTGTTGTTAGTTTTGACCTCCTATTATATGGTTTTTGGTAAATCTAAACCAAAAATCTCAAGAAAATTGTATCATGTATGGCCAGCCTAATGCTGGCCATAGCCGGGTCGAACATCGGCTGTTTTTGCGAAAGATAAACGAAAAATCGGTCGTTCGTTAAGCTGATGTTACCACCGATTCCAAAAATCGTCCGAATAAATCATAAAGTTCACCCCATATAACAGCCAAACTTTTGTTCTTTGCAGGTCACGGCTCATGCACATATTTTTTATTGTTAAAATGATCATCCAATTTGGCCATTATTGCCGGGAAAATCAGCCATTTTTCCAAATCAGCCACAAATTTTCCAACATGACCCATAATTCGGCAACAGCTGGAGTCAGGGGCAGACTGACAACTCATGGGGCCCCCGGTCAATAGGGGATCATGGGGCCCCTGTGTCCTTGCCCAAACTCAAAAAAAGCCTATGAAAAAGGTACCAGGGGCATCTCATGGGGCCCCCTACTGACCCCGACCCTCGGGCAGTGCCTGAGTTTCCAAATGGTCAGTCCGCCCCTGCACATGACCGATAATTTCAAACCGGCCTACCAATTAACCCACTAACAGTGCAAAAATTGGCCAATTTTCGAACTGTCTATGGCCGGCATTAGGCTGACCATAGCCTATACAATCTGATTGCAAACTCTCCTTTAGATCTGCTGTCAACAATGTATTGCAAGGGCCTGCCTGATTTGATACTAATTCAACTGTCCTGTCTGACTGGATACAAATCAATTGGTTAGATTAGGTAGGTGCCCATATGACATAGTTCTGGTAAATCCTATACAGAGATTGTATGGTCAGATTGCAATGTGCATAGTCACCCTAGAGGAGGTTGTACGATCAGATTGTATAGTGTATGGTTATTGATTTTGCAGCAGTTGTAATTCTCTATAAGACAAATATTGAGACTGGCTGAGACTTGTAGTTCCACAGCAGCTGGAGTCAAAGGTTTAAACAAACCGGCTTCTTCGGTAGCACTACAACCCCCAGCATGCTCTGCTCCACAAACGCACAATGCTTCCTCATGCGTTGCACTACGGAAGTTGCAGTCCAGGCAGAACTGAAGCCTCGTTATTAAAGGGCACATTGTATTATAGCATAACGTACCAATAATCGCAAATATACATTTTATTCACTTGCATTGCACAGAAATATCCAGAGGAATCGCTCCAGCTCTTGTTTCTCCATCAAATAACCTCACATAAGCTTTCTCGCAACATAGTATCACCCACACAAAAATCCTAACCAAATCCTATGTATCTGTCATAGTTTGTATGCTCCGCCATGGCTTTTGCAGTTGGGTGGGGGGGTGGGGGGGGACTGGATATAATTTAACATCTGCAGAGGAAGTTTGTGAATATTTTGTTTTAGGATTAATAAATACTGCGTGTGTGTGCGTGTTTGCGTGTGTGCGTGCACCTTGTGCGTGTGTGTGCATGTGTGCGCGTGTGTGTGTGCGCCTTGTGCGTGTGTGCGCGTATGTGTGTGTGTGTGCGCTTTGTGCGTGTGTGTGCGTGTGTGTGCGTGTGTGTGTGTGCGCCTTGTGCGTGTGTGTGTGCGTTTCGCGCACGCGCGTGTGTGTGTACATGATTCCTTATTGCCAGGGGGCCCCATGAGTTGTCAGTCCGCCCCTGGGGGGGTTATATTGATGCTGGGGGTGGGGGGGGTATGTGTATTAACCCCTGCTGTCCTGCATAGAGGTCTATAAATAGCTCTCTGGACCAATGATATGTCTGGACTTTGATGTTTCTATCTCTTTCTCACAGTCTGGGGTCATCAAGGTTGGAGGAACAAAGCTGCAATGTCATCTGGGAACTCCATATGGGGTCTGTGAATTCCGAGTATTTTCAGTCATTGCTCTCTTTTATACAGAGATAGAAAATATTCGAGAATTTTATTCGCATTTACTAACATCTACTCTTGTTTATGTTGAGTATCGTTACTTTTATCATGAATCAAAAGGGTTCTTTAAATTATAATTTATTCACCATATCTGAAAACAAAATATTTCATTATATTTTCTATGCTATAGAAACTTTTTTTTTTTCAAGGTAATAATAGATAATAGTGTATGTGACTGGAGAGGCATTAGATTGTAAGCTCCTCTGGTGCAGAGACTGATGTGACTGGCTCAGTGCTTTCTGTACAGCACTGCGGTATATGTCAGAGCTATGTGGATATATAATAATAATTGTGTGTGACTGTGGGGGGGCATTAGAGTGTAAGCTCCTCTGATGCAGAGATGATGTGACTGGCTCAGTGTTCTCTGTACAGCACTGCGGTATATGTCAGAGCTATATAAATGTATAATAATAATAGTGTGTGACTGTGGGGGGGGACATTAGAGTGTAAGCTCCTCTAGTACAGAGATAGATATGACTGGCTCAGTGCTCTCCGTACAACACTATGGTATGTGTCCGAGCTATGTGGATATATAAATATAATAATAGCGTGTGACTGTGGGGGGGGACATTAGAGTGTAAGCTCCTGTGGTGCAGAGAATAATAGGAAGGGCTCAATGTTCTCTGTACAGCACTGTGGTAGATGTCAGAGGTATATAAATGTATAATAATAATAATAATAATAGGTGTGTGACTGTAGGGGGGGACATTAGAGTATAAGCTCCTCTGGTGCAGAAACTGATGTGACTGGCTCACTGAATATACAGCACTGTGGAATAATGATATTAGAATGTGACTGTGAGGGGGAGGACATTAGAGTGTAAGTTCCTCTCTTGCAGAGACTGATGTGACTGGCTCAGTGTTCTCTGTACAGCACTGCGGTATATGTCAGAGCTATATAAATGTATAATAATAAGAGTGTGTGACTGTGGGGGGACATTAGAGTGTAAGCTCCTCTGGTGCAGAGACTGATGTGATTGGCTCGGTGTTCCTTGTACAACACTGCGGTATATGTCAGAGCTATATAAATGTATAATAGGGCGTGACTGTGAGGGAACATTAGAGTGTAAGCTCCCCTGGTGCAGAGACTAATGGGAATGGCTCAGTAT